CACCTTTTAGCCGAAATTTTATATAATTTTAAATAAACGGTGTACCCTTAAACACGAGAACTATCTCGCCATATCTCTACTTCAGAGCTTCAACGGTAGGAAACCATGGAGAGAAATACCTTTCTGTGCTTCAAAGTTCCACGGAGCCAGCTTCACTGCCTCGCGGAAATGCAGCAGGGACTCCTGTTGCTTCTCCAACGCTTGTAATAAACTCGCTGAAAACATTGCAAGAAATATCAGAACGGCTGGTGTATAAGCAACTTGAAATATACTTTAAACAATGACAAACAAAAATGCATGTAAGTTCAACTCCAGACACGAATATAGGAAATAGCGAGTCTTTCAGTGACGCGAAGTTGTCTACAGATACGATCACGCTAATGTTAACGTTCGCGACAACAGCGGTACACTCCGCTGCACCTCGTGTGCCCCTTTTTCATCTTACCACATTATAACGTCATCTGTGATCTACAAGTGAATAGACGCCTGACAACATGGAATCTCTTTTTCACATAAAAATCCTACGTTTCCAGTTATCCGTACCTTTCAAAACAAGTGCTTGTACGTTACGACTGTCGATAGTGTGAGCCTAAAAGTTACAAGCATAGAATTAAAAATCAAAAGCAATAAGCTTAGGGTTATTGTTTACTGAAGTCAGCAAAAAACCAATCACTGAGATGCTGCTAACCTTCTCTGCAAAGTAGACAGTTCTGGGCTCTCGGTTTGTAGCATTGCAAAAATGGCCCATTGCAATCCATGGCTCTGGTTTAAGTTGTGTCACTTGAATCAAGTCTTTAGCTAACCTGGAAGGAAAAAAAAACAAATACACAGGTCTCTTTAAACACAATCATGTCTAATAATAATAATAATAATTATAATAATAATAAAAAATCCATATAATATCTTGTCCTAGTGGTCCAAAAACGTTTCACAGGAGGGAAATTATACATATTATTTACAAAAAGTACAACAACAATGAAAATTCAACGTTCTATGTAAGCCGGTAAAAATTAATGTTCTTTAAGTTTCCGTATAAAAGTTTCAACTGATTGCAAGTCTCTTAATGACTGTGGGAGGGAGTTCCACAACATCGCTGAAGCCAAAGCAAACAGCCGACCACCATAAGACTCGAGATTGTACACAGGTATCTTCAAAAGGTTTTTGTCTTTTTATTTTCCTAAGGTTAGTCTCCATGTTCATGATAACTTGCCTATTCTTTCCACAAAAAAAAAGAAGAAAGAAAAACTGTGCATGAAAAGCCACATTAACCCTCAAACCCCTAGGAGTGATCAGCAGCTAAGTTCTCACCTGAATCAAACATTGAGTAAAAATAAAATAAATATAAGAAAAGATCACAAACTCAAGTAGCCCTAGATTGTTGGACAAATTCTCCTTGCAAGTGCCATAGGAAATTTATAGAGAACAGTTCGGAGAACTTGTACACTGATGTTAGGTTGTAAAGGGTTTAGGTCAAAATTTGTCAACCTTAGTGAAAGAATGATACAATTTTTTATCACCCAAATACATCAACTGTGTCACAGTGCAAATTGACATTCATAACACCACTTGGTCCCACATTATAAACATAAGAAACATAATTTGGTTTCATCAACTGAGTTGTTAAAGTAAATTGACTGCTGTAAAGAGTTTTTGATTAAAAGTGGTTGCCAATTTACATTATCCACTCATTTGATAAACCACATTATCTCATAATATCCCCTACTGACACAGCACTACAAACGTACTGCCTTTATTCATCAGAAACATTACACTGAGTTGCAATACATACACTTTTGGAACCCTCCATTGTATATTTTTCTTACATATACATTTAAAGGTTTCAGTTTACATGAAAAGCAACAATTCATTTAGCACATACTTCTCCAGCCTGTCACTGTCACTGCATCCACTCTGTGACAGCAAAAATGCATAAATGTCCATACCTTGGACAGTAAATGGGTCCAGTGAATGAGCCTATATTTGACAGAAATGAGAACAATTTCATCAGAGAGGGATGGGGAGGGAAGAGGTGGGAAGAAAAGGGAAGGAGAAGGATTGGGAGAGAAGGGAGGGAGGAAAAGGGAAGGAAAGGGATTGGGAGAGAA